TACTCTGATGCTGCGACGGTTCGCTGGCGCCGTCAGAGTCTTCTTCCTGCAGGATGCCTACGTCAGCTCTCTCGCCTACGGTCTCGCTCATACCCGGCCGACACCCTGGGCTCTCTGACGCTCTACCTGCACGGAGTCAAAATCCCCACTGCCTGTGGTCGTCGGACCGGGCTCGACCCTGGGGATGTGCATCGCGCCATTTTGGCAGCGTTATTCCTGCTCCCTGGGTGCCTGTCTCCCCTCAGACTCCCTGGGCTGCAGCCTGCGCCGCCGCCTGATCCGCGGCCCGCGCGCGCGCCCGCTAATTCGTTACGGCCGCAGCCCGACCGTGACCCGCCGCCGCCGGCGCTTCCGCCTGCGGCTGTAAAAAAAAAGAAGTATCACCACCACCAGCCCATTCACAAGCGACGTTATTTGTGAGAGTTGCTCGTATGGTGAGGTTGAAGGATGAGAAGGCCGGGGGGGAGAGCGAGGTAGGAGGGGGCTCTGTCCACCCCCGACTGACTGCGTTACGGTCTTGCCTCTGCGGGATCAAGGTCGTAAGGAAGAAGCTGAAGCAGCGGCAGCGGCAGCAGCAGCTTGCTCGGTGAGATCGACGTGGCGGTCGTCCGCGCGCTCGCCGAGACGGTCGCGGGCGCGAGCAGTGAGCACGTGGAGCATTGAATCAGTAGAGTCGCAAGCAGGGGCAGAGCTGAATTCTCTCTGTAGAGTCGCAAGCAGCAGGGGGGACAGCCCCCGACGGCCCCCGCGTCTGCAGAGGCGGGCGTTCCGGTCACCGAGTGCCGGGTTTTCCTCGACCCCGGAACCGGGGGGGTGGAGCTGGAAGGCGGGGCGTGGTCGTCCCCGTCGTCTCCGCAGCCGCCGCCATCGCCGCCGCCGCCATCGCCGCCGGCCGCCGCCGTCGTCGTCGTCGTCGTCGTCGTCGTCGTCGTCGTCGTCCTCGTCGTTGTCGTCGTCGTCGTCGTTGTCATCGTCGTCGTCGTCGTCGTCGCTTTCATCGTCGCCGTCGCCGTCGCCGTCGTCGTCGTCGTCGCTTTCGTCGTCGTCGTCGTCGCCGTCGTGGTCGTCGTCGTCGAGGTGGTCGTCGTCGTCGTCGTTGTCGTCGTGGTCGTCGTCGTCGTCGTGGTGGTGGTCGTCGTCGCCGTCGCTGTCGTCGTGATCGTCATCGTCGTCGCTGCTGTCGGCGCCGTCGTCGTGGCGCGATTTGTTATGAGTGTCCCTGCGCTGAGCCTGGGGCCTCGTCGTCGTTAAGTTGTTCATGTCGCGAAAACATTGCCTGTTCATCATCTAGCCATTGTGGGCGCTCTCGCCTCGACGCTAGCTACCTTTTCTCTGAAAGCGACGCTCCCGCTCGAGCAAGGGATGGGATTTTTGACATGAGTCCGCCGATGATTAATCAACGAAGCAATCATGGCCCCACCTCAATTTTGAGGTCTGCCCTTTTTCTGGTGGCGGCCACGACAAATCAGGGAAACACTATAATCATGATTCCTGGTTGGTTGCTTGCACCTCGTGGCCAATCCACGTCCTTGGCCAGAGTGTGCGTAAGCGAGGCACCTCAAACAAACAGTCAAAGAAGTGTCATTCGGAACATTAAGAGAGAAAGGGTTATGCCCGAGTCCTCTCAACAACGATCCTTCCAGCTTTGACGAGTCTCTACAATCACCAGGGCTGGGAGGGTGCAACTCAGAAGCGCCTCTCTTCACACGCAAGCAGTTGTGAGGCACCTCCACCATCGAATGTATTCGGCAGGACTGGGCGCGGCCCCATAATTGATCAGGAGGTCGAGAGAAGCTCCCACTCGTGTGGCCTGCAGACCTTAGCCACACGCTTCTTCTGTGGTCTCTGAGAGGTCCAGGCGGGACCACTGTGGCAAGATACCCCCTGCTAGCTTACGCACTGCTTTGAAAATCCGAGTCTTCTTGCTCAGTCAGAGCCGACAGGGTGCAGAGCTGCTCCCGCGTTCGCGGCAAGATCAGCAGACGGGTTCCCAAACCGCCTCCAGCCTTATTGAGATCAGATGCCCTGCTCCGCAGGGTCTTGGTGTGCCTTCACTTTGACGACCGACTCCGAACCGAGACGATCAATCACCATAAGCCGCGCATAGGCCCACTTGTAGGGCAGCTGTAGCTCCCTCGGAACATTCGCTTACTTCACAACATTTGTACAGTCGCTATAAATCGTAGTCGGACCCGTGATCTCGCTCGATCCCCGTCCTAGCAAGGGCAGCATCTTCACCGCAATGAGGGGTTTGGAGGACGGGAGAGACAGCAGGAGCGTACACCGTGCACCGCTCGCCTCCCTCTTAGTTGATCATGGTCATACCATAACCAGCCCTAGGCAGCTCAGGGATGACATGCCTGGGACGACTGCCATCTATAAACACATTCCGGCACACCGAGCCATCGTCAGGGGGTGGTTCATGCCGCGTTTGCCTGGCCTGGACCTGGGAGTCTTCCGATGCAGGCCTGGGGAGTACATCACCTGGGTGCGGGAAGAGCCCACGGCAGAGCAGCATGTCAGTAAGGGGGTCGGTCGGATCGGCAGCGTCAGTTGCTTCGAGGATATCTTGATCGATGATTTCGGCACGCGCCGAGGAGAAGCATTGGCTGTTGCGTTCTTTCAGTGCAGTCAGGCATCGAGTTGAGAACAAACACTGGGGTAGGCCAGTGAAAACAAGTTAAGGCTGCTGCGAGTACGGATGGAAGAGATGCAACAAGAACTCTGCAACAGAGAAGGTGCCCAGATTGGGGCAGAGTAACTAAGCAGGCAGCCGTTGGGAGATGGGAAAACAGCACCCAACCAATACCTGACCATGCTACCATGAGGTATACTAGCATGGGAGAGCATCTGAACGGAGTGAACGAAATACGCGTGCAAGTACAGCAGGCAGGCGGCGCTTTTGGCGACCGTGTGCCAGCATGCCTGTACATGGTGAGCTGTGCATTCTCTGGCTGGTGGCCGAGAGGGTACTTTCGGATGCAACTCCTGGTAGGTCAACCTCTGATTTCGCCTTCGTCCGAAATCCGGCTTAATCTGGCTTGATCCCGCTTAATCCGGCTTAATCTCTTCAATCCGCGGCCTAATCCGGCATAGCAGCCTCCCAACGGGATTCAATCCTCGCTATTCCTTTCGATGAAGACCTCCCAGTAGTTGCCTCCCAGGGTACTGGGCCACTATTTGTCTCATGGTCAGGAACTGAGGTGGCCGTGGGCTTGCGCAGATGGTACTGGCTGGCCGACTTAGTCCTTGGTATACGGTTAAATTGCCATAGTTCAGGATGATGATCTTCCTCCAGCCGTGCCCCTCCATACCTCCCATCGCCTGCTCATAGTATAGGGAGAAAGTAGAATGGTAGCGCTGAGAGGCGATGCGTGACTGCACACTACACGAGCAGGCGACTGAACTTGAGGATGTGCATCTCTGGGCTTGACACTGTAGCCTAGGCTGGCTCGGACGGTGCTGGCCTGCCTGTGTGTGTTTACTGTCCAGCTATGTTGTGTCCAGAGTGAGCACTGTAGAGGGCTTCGGCGAACGGGGCGAAGGAAGAGGAGAGAAACGCAAAACGACAGACCACAGTAGGGAGCAACATGCTCCCTGTGTCGAGGCACGCGTAATCTCACCACCCACGCTCCCGATACATCCTCTCCCAACCCCCTAAATAGTAGCTGCAGCGGCGTGAGTAATAAAAGGCAAATGCGGACGGTACTGGTCGAAGCCTGTATTTGGTAGGTAAAGTTTTGATTGAAAAATGGTAGTAGGCTGGCGCAGGCGGTACCCGCCTGCCTACTATGTGGTGGTACAAATTCTGGCATCAATGAAACGAGCGGGCAGTGATTGGGGAGAGGCGTAATTCAGGTACAAGGGTGGCTGCGCAGTGCTCAACCCAACGCTTGGGGAGCACCAACCAGAGCAGCTTCCATAGTGACAGTATCCTCCTCCTCCTCCCTTTCCTCCTCCTCCTCCTCCTCCTCCTCCTCCTTGTCCTCCTCTTCCTCCTCGTCCTCCTCCTTCTCCTCCTCCTCCTCCCCTTCCCGTTTCCCCCCTGGCTGGCCGCCAGTCCTCGCGGCCCTTATGGGGGAGGGCTGCCCCCCGTGAGGCGGCACCAGCGCGCTCGAGCCGAGCTCCCGGTACGCGGCTTTCTTGCACCTCGGCGGCCAGAGCATTAGGCCTGCCTCTCGGCGCCGCACTCGCCTCGGCTCGTGGTCGTCATAGTCGCCGTCGTCGTTTGCGTCGCCGTCGCCGTCGTCGTTGTCGTCGTCGTCGTGGTCGTGGTCGTGGTCGTGGTCGTGGTCGTCGACGGTGTCGTCGTCGTCGTCGTCGTCGTCGTCGTGGTCGTCGACGGTGTCGTCGTCGTCGTCGTCGTCGTCGTCGTCGTCGTCGTCGTCGTCGTCGTCGTCGCCGCTGCCGTCGTCGTCGTCGTCGTCGTCGTCGTCGTCGTCGTCGTCTCCGCCGTCGTCGTTGACGGTGTCGTCGTCGTCGTTGTCGTCGTCGTCGTCGTCGTCGTCGTCGTCGTCGTCTCCGCCGTCGTCGTTGACGGTGTCGTCGTCGTCGTTGTCGTCGTCGTCGTCGTCGTCGTCGTCGTCGTCGTCGTCGTCGTCGTCGTCGTTGTCGTCGTCGTCGTCGTCAGGTTTTCCAGAAGGCTTCTGGAGGGGGAGTGTGGAGGAGAATTCGAGGATCGGTGGTTTTTTGGAGGAGGAGGAGGAGGACAAGGAGGAGGAGGAGGAGGAGGAGGAGGAGGAGGAGGACAAGGAGGAGGAGGCGCAGGTACCCTGATTCCGATGAAATCATTCAGGCTGATGGATTGCAAAGTGTGGCGTGGTTTGACTTGGAAGGTTGCCGTGGGGGCCTCGTGGGCGCCCTGTGCGCTGGGCGGGTGTGGCGAGGTTTCTCCTGGTCGGTCGCCGTGGGCGCCTCGTGGGCGCCAGATTGCTTACGCTACGTATCTCAGTCCATATGGCTTGCACCACGTAGCTGACGCCACGTATGTTGCCCCACGCAGGCTGTAGCCGTTCTGGCTCAAGCTAGCCTTGGGCGCCAGGCAGGCGGTGCGCGGCGTGTTTTCCCTGTAGAGTCCCGTCGCCCCGGCGTGCACAGATGACCGGCCCAGTCTCACTCTCCTCCTGCGCGGCAGAGGCGATGACTGCGGTCCTCCCCCCTGCAAGGCTGGCCAGCTGTGCAGGGGGTGGAGGCCCTGGCCTGCGCTGCCGTGCGCGGCGCGGCGGAGGGCGGCGGCCCCAGGCAACACTCGGCGGCGGCGGCGGCGGCGGTGGCTGCGACCGTGGCGGCGGCCAGGGCGCGGCCCCCTCCCGTGGCTGAGCAGGGGCTCGGCGCCGGCGTGGAGGGGGAGGCCAGGATCGACTCAGGAGGTTCGGCAGCGGCTGGGCCTCATCGAGGTGGAGCTCCGCGCGCGGTGCCACGGAGTTCGTCAGGACCGGGACGGCGCCTCGTTCGGGGCGCTGGCTCGTCGACCGCGGCACCCACGTCCTCTGCGGCGCGGCCAAGCATGCCTTCGACGAGGAGGTGGCGGCGCTGACGCCCGCGGTGGCCCGCCAGGAGCAGCGCCGTGCGCGGCAGGCTCCGTGCGGGGCAGGCCGCGGCCGAGGGCGACTCCGTCGGCGAGCCCAGCGGGAGGTCCGACGCAGAGCTCGACGCGGAGGCCTGTATCCAGGAGCTCGAGGCGGAGCGCATGCATCTCGTGGAGGAGCGCGATGAGCTCGCGGAGGAGCTCATGGAGACCAGGGCCCTCGCCTGGGAGCGCAAGCGCGCGGCGGCGCCTGCTCCCTCGCTTGCGCCCGAGGTGGTGCAGCTCGCAGAGGGACGCGATGAGCTCGTGGAGGAGCACATGGAGACCAGGGCCCTCGCCTAATTAGGGCCTCAACGGCCCGGCTGCGCCTAGCCCCTCGCCTGCGCCCGAGGTGGTGGGCCCTGTGGTGGTGGGCCCCATCCCGCCATTCCCAGTGTTCGGGGTCGAGGACTCCGTTGGGGAGAAGGACACGGTGAAAGTCACGGCCGACCTCAGCATTGGGGATGGGACTCAGGCCAGTTTCGACCTCGAGGGCGTCTTCGCGCTGGCCCATGGGCTGCCTGTGGACATCCGCGAGTCGGAGTGCATGTGTCGGGGGCCTGAGGGTTCCGAGGGCCAGGATGGCCAGTCCGGTCCATGCACTGCGGCTCCGGCGTGTCTGTGTGCTGGGCCCGAGGGCCCTGGGGCCATCGAGCAGAAGGAGCACTGCTGGGAGGCCACGGTGGCGGCCAACCCGGAGGCGCACGGCCAGGCGGCGGAGGCGCAGGAGCGCCGTCACGCTGAGAGGCGGCTCGAGCGCGACGTGCTGCTGCTGGAGGGCGAGCGCGTGCGCTGGGCCGACGTGGAGGACTCGCTCGACGAGCTGAGGGACCCAGCCATGGCTAAGGCTGAGGTCCTTGTGCTGGGCCATCCCCAGGGAGAGCACTGGGCCCGCCTGGCAGCCAAGGCCAGCAGGGTGCAGCCGTGGCCCACGCACCCCAGCTTCATCCCCAAACTCATGGGGCCGATGCTGAAGAGTGTGATGGGGTCCAGGCGGGGCCCAAGAAGCAGATCGCGGGGCGCCCCGTTGCCCTCGAGGGGCTGGTGCAGGCTGGCGTTGACCCTTGCCAGGGCGAGCAGAGCCTCATTTTTGCGATGGGCCGAGGTTTGCGAGGCAGTTTGAATAATATGCGTCTTTTTCTTGATGGTAAAGTTCTTTGCAGCAGCGGAGTGGTGCTTTCTTCTACAAGTTTTTGAGCGTTGCTCTTGTATTCCTATCGAGATCATACTTTGAACGCTATTTGTTTACCTGGCACTCGAAGGGGTGGTGGAAGATAGCTGAGGCTGTGGAGTGGCTCCCGAGGGAGTCCAGTGCCGCAGGTCCGTGGGCAGCGAACGCGGGTGTGTGGCAAGACGGAAACACAAACTATTGCCCCACACAGATTGCGCTTAGACCACCTAGCTTACACCACATTGCTTGTGCCGCATAGCTTGCGACACAAATATTGCACCACCTAGCTCGCACGACATGGCTTTCACATCCACGGTGCAACACGTCACTGTTTGGGGTCCACGGTGGCAACCGCGTATAAATTTAGCGGGGGTGGGCCGTACGATGCCTCCCCGTGAAGTGACCGTGGTAGGCAACATCGTGCAACTTCGAAGGCCCGGTGGTCACGGGCAGGGTCGTGCTCGTGGTGGGCGGTTTGGGCGAGCACGCTGCCCACTCGTGTAACCACCCAGTGTCAAGATGCCCATCCTCGTTCTTTGATGATGGTGGTGGCAGTTCTGAGAAATTGAATGTTTGATGAGGTTCGTGATCATGATCATGATCATGATCATGAGATGATGGCGGCGACAGTGCTGCTGCTGATGACGCTGCAGCTGAAGATGGACGGTGTCTTTGATGTGATGTCTACTGCCGATTCTGATGCTGGGTCCGGTGGTGATGATGCGGATGATGACTATGAGTATGGTGGGTGGCTATGATGTTGCCTGCTGATATTGCTGCTGCTGCTGATGATGATAACGATGACGATGGCGATAACGATTCTGATGATGCTGATGCTGATGATGAAGATGGTGGTGGTGGTGGTGGTTACGAGTATTGTGATGCCGCTGTTGAACTCATGGTGATGCTGGTGGTAATGCTGGTTCTCACACTGCTGGTGGCGAGGTTGTTGACGGTGATGATAACGATGAAGTTGATGGTGCTGATGACGGTGGTGATGATGATGGTGAAGCTTAGGGTGATGATGCTTATGATGCTGATGATGAGTATGATGATCAGAGAGAGCGTGATCCACCGCCGCTTTACTGTGGAAAATTGCCAACCTTTTCCTCCGGAACCCGGGGGTCGCCCCCCCCCCCCCCGAAAATCCTCCCCCCCCCCCCCTGCTGGAGCCCCCCCCCCCCCCCTCCCCCGGCAAAACCCCCCCCTCCCCTAACCCCTCCCCCCCCCCCCTCCCCCTCGAAAAGCGGGGGGGTCACTACCGGTTCGAACCCCTCCCCCCCCCCTTCCCCCCCCCCCCTCCGGATCCGGAAAACCGGGGGGGGTCACTACCGGTTCGAACCCCCCCCCCCCCTCGAAAACCGGAGGGGGATCACTACCGGTTCGAACCCCTCCCCACCCCCCCACTCACCGCCAGCAAACGACTCCCGGTCCCTACCACCGTCCGCATCACATCCTCCACTGTTGTTCCCAGCACCACTGTCCTCACCACCACTGTCCCCACTGTGTCCCCACCAGTGCCCCCACCACTGTCGCACTGTCCCCACTGTCCCCACCACTGTTCCCACCACGGTTCCACTCTCCCCACTGTCTCCACGGCCCCAACCACTGCCCGACTATCCCCACTGTCCCACTGACTCCGCCGCTGTCCCACTGAGCTGTCCCACTGTTCCCACCACTGTCCCCACTGTCCCCACCACTGTCCCCACTGTACCTCTGTCCCATTGTCCCACCGCCGTCCTCGCCACCGCCTTCACCACTGTCCCCACCACCATGTCCCACCCTCCACTGTCCCCACCACCATTGTACCCTCCACTGTCCCACCACCTCATTCCCACTGTGCCCACACCACTGTCCCCACCACCACCGTCCCCACCACTGTCCACTGTCCCCCCTGTTCCCACCATTGTCCTCACCACTGTCCCCACCACTACCGGCCCTCTACTGTCCCACTGTCCCACTGTCCCCACCACTGTCCCGCTGTCCCCTCACCACTGTCCCACCAACACCGTCCCCACCTCTGTCCGCACCCCCACTGGGTTTTCGAGAGGGGGGGGGGGGGAGGGGTTCGAACCGGTAGTGACCCCCCCCGGTTTTCCGCCAGCAGCGGTAGAACACGCTCTTTCGATGATCATGATGCTGGTGGTGGTGCTTGAAGTGGTGGTGCGGATGATGATCGTGCTGGTGGTGGTGGTGGTTATGATGGTGCTGATGGTTGATGACGATTGAGGCGATCAATATCATCGTAATGCAGAGGATGTGTGCGATCATGATGGGTGATGATAATCTAGGGGAGGGAATCGGGAAGAGGAAACGGAGATGAGAAGGGAGAGTAGGAGGAAACTCGGGTGTCTCCGAAGGTTTCCGTTGGTCGCCATGCAGAGATCCCTGGGCCCCCAAATGAGCATAACCTAGCAGACACCTCAACCCTTGATCCTCGGTCTCCTTGTCTCTTCTTCTCCTCCTCCTCTCCCTCACCTCGTCCACCTACCGCCATCCCCCCCCTCGGCTAGTCGCTGTACCCATCCATCCTCCCTCATCCTCCTCTTCTTTCTCCCCCCGTCCTCATCCCCCGTGCCCCTTCCCCTCCTCGACTCTTGATGCGCTCGATCCTCCCTCCGCGCATCTCCGCGCACCTCCAGGGTCGTCCTGGAGACGGGAAGGTCGGCTTCAGCCTGAGAGGGCTCGAAGCGCGCGCGCGGCGCCTCGCCTGCTGCTCCTCCCGCTCCTCTTCGGGGAGGGGGAGCAGGAGAAGGAGAAGGAGGAGGAAGAAGAAAAAGAGGAGAAGGGGGAGGGGGGGGACAAGGTAGGTGCGCTAGCGTCACAACTGACGTCCTACCCCTCCCCAGTTGCTGCTCTTCTCTCCCTGCTCCCTGCCGCCGCCGCCCGCTTTCGGGTACCGTGGGCCTGCCGGCGCGAGAGTAGAAAGATTGTGGATTGTCGTGGGTGCCGTCGTCGTCCCTCCTCATGTCTTCCATTCTCTTGTATGCAGTTACTCATAGCTCAACGGATCACAGAACGGATGTCTGATATCCCCTATCATGGGCGATTAAGCCGATACGTTAACTTACCATCATACCCCCATGTTTCGGGAAACCGTATTTTTCAGGCGAACGATCTCCTTCCCATCCCTTATCATGGCGTGGATCTCTCATCTTTTCGCACAGCCGGATGTCGAGCAGGGCAACGATCCCAAGAGGGTACGCGATGGATGGAACATCGTTGCGTAGAAGGCCACGGCATATCATAACATGTCAAAGCATGGCGTGGCCTTGCGTACTGCAGCACTGCGTGACAAAGCGTAGCAACGCAAATCATGGCATCGCACAGCGGTGCCTAACACAGCATCGCATTGCATGCCGTGGCATGGCGCCGGATGAGTTGGAGGGTAAGTGGTCCGTGTGCGAGAGGACAGGGCCTGTCAGGAATGCCAAGTCCTTGTCCTCCGCAACCGCGCCTGCCCGATGTGGGCGCGTTCAAATGCCAAGTGCCGCTCGGGGGCGAAATAACAAGGCCAGCGCTGCAGCGGGACCGCGATTTTGAATGACCGAAGCGCGGACATGAGGGCGGCATTGCAGCGGGAACGAGATTTTGGAAAAACCAGAGCCAGCCAGATCGAAACCCCACATACTAAGAAACAGTACGTGGATAGGACGGAACATTCTCTGGACGGAGTGAGGGGAGAGAGGAGAGTAGTATTCAGATGATGCAATTGCTTAGGAGGAGAAGGAGGAGGAAGAGGAGGAGGAGGAGGAAGACTACGAGGAGGAACAGGGGGATGAGGAAGATGATGATGATGATGATGATGATGATGATGATGATGATGATGATGATGATGATGATGATGATGATGATGATGATGATGAAGAATCAGAGAAGGGGAAGAGGGAGGACAGATGGAACCGGAGGAGTAAGAGGGGCGAGAGAGGGACGAGGGAGGAACGAGGGAGGAGGCAAGATACGGAGCAAGATGTTGATGGTGATGGTGATAGTGATAGTGATGGTGGTGATGATGATGCTGATGCTGATGCTGATGCTGCTGGTGATGGTGATGGTGCTGATGTTGATGATGATGACGACGACGGGGTCGACGACTACGACGGCGAGTGTGATTGTGACCGTGATGGAGGTGCAGACGATGATGCTGCTGATGTTGCTGGGGATGGTGATGGTGAGGATGATGACACTGACGATGATAATGGTGATGATGGCGATGATGATGCTGTCCATGTTGATGATGCAGATCCAGGCGACGATGACAATGATGCTGATGATGATGATGCAGATGCTGATGCTGATGATGCCGATGACGCTTATGATTACGACGATGCGAATGGTACTGGTGATAAGGATGACGCTAATGATGATGATGATGATGATGATGATGATGTTAATGATAATGATGATGGTGATGATTATGATTATGTTGATGATGATGCTGGTGATGATGATGATGAAGAAGATGATGATGATGATGATGCCTGTGATGATGAGAATGATCATGATGCTGATGATGGTAGTGATGATGAAGATAATGATAATGATGCTGCTGATGGTGATGCTGCTGATGACGATGGTGATGCTGCTGATGATGACGATGCTGCTGATGTTGATGCTGAGGATGGGCATACTGATGATGATGGTGATGATGATAATGATGATGATGATGATGCTGATGATGATGATGATGATGATGATGATGCTGATGATGATGATGATGTCTATGATGATGAGAATGATCATGATGCTGATGATGATGGTAATGATGCTGACGATGATGACGATGACGATGGTGATGATGGTGCTGCTGCTGATGATGCTGATGCTGATGATGATGACGATGCTGATGATGATGACGATGCTGCTGATGCTGAGGACGAGGATGAGGATGCTGACGATGAGATGATGATGGTGCTGCTGCTGTGGCTGCTTAGTGTGACGATGGTGATGATAATGATGATGCTGACGATGATGATGATGCTGCTGATGCTGATGGTGATGAAGATGATGCCGCTGATGATGATGATGCTGCTGATGATGATGATGATGATGATGGTGATGCTGGTGGTGATGATGCTGGTGAAAACGATGATGCATATGATGATGAGGAGGCGGATGAGGATCAGGATGGGGATGAGGATGAGGCGGATGATGCTTATGCTGTTGCTGCTGATGATGAGGATGCCGCTAATGGTGGTGGCTTTTATGGTGCTGATGATGGTGACGACGATGCTGACG